TGCTGAGGGTGCACTCGATTCCGTCATCGCTGTCATTGATAAAGATGTTAAAGAGCACCGGTCCCAAGGCAGACCCCTGGGGGACACATGGGCCTTTATTCCATAGTCGTTCTGAAAACTCTGTCATACTCTTAAAAGTCTCAGCTTTCAGTCAAGGAATCTCACTGTGTCTTTGCAATAGCTTTATTTGCTAGCTTTGTTCTCCTCAAATCTTCCAACACAAAAATCTATAGACATCGACCAAGATGCTTTCAGCTTTTTCCCTTTAATAAATTGCATAAAGTTGAGCTCCTTGCCAGAAAGCTGTTCTGCAGTTCCCTGACCTGTTCTGCAGCCTCTCTCTGGATCCAACCCAGAATTTCCACATCATTTTCCCAGTTTCATTCCTAAAATTAAGCACTCAGTAAAGGTCTGTCAACCCCTCACAGTGAAGCAAGATTTCTCTTAACTTCTAAAGATATCCCGTTCATTTATGCTTGAATTTTTAGCAGTGATTCCTAGCTCCTCTGACATGCTCTCTGTTTCCCAGTCTGCCTTATCATAGAATCATAGAATCCCAGAATGGCCTGGGTTGCAAAGGAGCACAATGCTCATCCAGTTCCAACCCCCTGCTGTGTGCAGGTCACCGACCAGCAGCCCAGGCTGCCCAGAGCCACATCCAGCCTGGCCTTGAATGCCTGCAGGGATGGGGCATCCACAGCCTCCTTGGGCAACCTGTTCCAGTGCCTCACCACCCTCTGGGTGAAAGAGTGAGCCTCTGTGGCTCTTAATACATCTCCTTGCCCTTGGATGTATTTCAGTTCATACTGATGATCTGACAAAGTTTAACATGACAATTCAGGCCAATGTGTATTCTCTCTTCCAAGCAGAGATTTAATGCCACTGTCTAGGTTGATTAAGATACTGCACTCCACTGAACCAAAACCAGTCCTGGAAGAGCTCCATTGGTAGGAACAAGGCTCACCAGCACCTTCCGATGAATGGCCACATCCTCACACTTGCTGACACATGCCTCAGCAGTTTAAAAACTTCAAATATTAGATTACACCAAGTCAAATCTCTTGGAGAAGTCCACTCATATCAGCACATCTGCCTTTAAAAACACCAAAAAGTTGGCAGGGTTTTTGACAAGAGTGAGCTTCCAAGGAACGACAAGCTGACATTTAATTGTGTACTCAGCAGACTAAAAGACAAGATATTACCTGTACAGTACAGCATCTAAAAAGTCTGTAGCACTGAAGTCAAACAGCTTGTAGCCTTCTCTCTTAAAGGCCAGCACTGCATTCGGACCGAGCCAAACACTTCCATCCATTCTTGGCGTGAAATGAAACCCCAGGAAAGGGAAGCGAGGATTGGGAACCTAAAGGAGGATACAACACTTATTGCAGCTATTCCAACATAGATCAGTGAAACAGCTACACAGCCAGCCAAGCCAACACACCACTCCAAGAAACATGGGAAATATCTATGAGGAGGACAATGCAGTTTATTGTGTGAGAGAGTTATTAAAACAAACCAAAACACAGTAAAGGTGCTGTCCTCCCAGTAAATGGAAATAATTAATTTTAAATAAACCATGAAAATGAATTCAGTTTGCCATTTTATTTCCAATCACCACATTAAAATTGAAGACAAATAAGCATACTACTGGCTCCTCAGCTATTATTTCTCTGCTTGTTAATTGTACAGTTCTAGTAGGTAGCAGTTAATTGAAAATGCCAGAGAGAAGGGCTAAGTGAGACTGCATCTTAGGTAAAGCAAAATGATCAGCAGAAAAAAAGTACACGTTTTCTCAAGGTATAAATCAACCCACAACAAAATGAATGGCACACAGATGCTATTCACCAATAGTAATTACACTGCAATAAAATAAAACGAGGAAAATGTCACCATTCCTGTATAGCTTGCAACAACACACAATTAGCAAGCCTGATTAATAGCAATAATAAGTTATCTCCAGATTCTTTCTTTTGTTTATCAAAGGAACACAGTGCAATTGTGTGCAAAGGCTGTAACAGAAATAAGCTGCCTATATACAGAAAGTATAAAATAAGCACATCTCTTCTTGTGCTGGTGCTTCAGCACCTTTAGCTGTTTAGAAAAGGTGCCCACAGAGGTGAGCAGCTTACAGTCTGAAAATAAGCAAGCACTGGGCATATCAAAGCATATCAAAAGTGAGGACTGAAAAATCACTTCAGTGTAGCTTCCTTTGGTATATTCAGAGCTCTGCTTTTTCTGTTAAAAACACACTTTAAAAACTTTCTAAGCTTAGTACAACCACTGCACAAATGACATCTGTTTCTGGTAACGTGACAGTATTCTTAACTTAAGCAGTTTTCTAGTTTTATTATCATGCTTGGCAGTAACAGAAGGGTACAAGCTACCACACAGCTATGGCACGAAGCTGGAAGGTACCCTCCTACCCCAGCCAGTTCCTCCTTCCCATCCCAAGGCACAATCCTGCATCACTTCCAGGTGACAAGAGATCAGACAAGCACCTATAACAGATTGTAAAGCTTGTCCTTTTCCTGCCAAGTCTATTTTTTCCTACCTGTTCCTTATCAAAAACAAGCTGTCCTGTCAGAAGTCAAATGACTCTGATTTCACGCTGTGCATCATTTCAGCCCAACAGAAACAACAGTGTAATGCTGCCCTCATGTCTGTAGCTTCAGCAGTTGCTACAACACACCATGAAACACATACAAGAAAGTACATACCGGATAAATGTTTCCTTTCACCATATAGCACTTCTCTGGTTTTAGCACCAAATAATCTCCACGGAAGGGTACAATGCGAGGTTCAGGGCTGCAACCACTGATTTCAGACAGGCGGTCAGAGTAAAGTCCTGCACAGGTCACTATGTGCCGACAGTAGATTTCCTCACCCTGGGGGGGGGGGAATTAAAAAAAAGAAAGGTAAAACCAACATCAACCCCAATTAAAAATACAATGTGTCTACCAGGAGACCCATCGCCCTAAAGCCTTGGAAAATCTAGTCACAATCAGAAAGGAAACCAACCGTATAAAGGCAGATAAAAAAGCAGCAGCACTAACTTCAAACACTATTTGCAGTGGGGTAGGGGATGTTCTTTGTGCATGTGTTGTTTGCCTTATTTTTTCTGCTCTGTCTCCAAGGAAAAGGCCAGGTATTCTCCCTTGAAGACAAAAAGGCTACAAGCACATTTCCTGTGCAGCATGAACTAACCCACAGGAATGACCTCAGCGTATGTACCTCTTGTACTGAGTGACCTTGTGGTCTTCTGATAATAAAACGATTACAAATGCCTCCTTATCTTTTTTTTATAGATGCTGAAGAATGAGAACAAACACGAGAATACGTTTCTCACCAAATGAGTAAGTAATAAAGGGAATCCATGGAAACAACAAATGGAGGAGTGTGCAAATAAGGAAGATAAGGAGCACATACCATCAAGCAGCAGAAAGTTCTACTTTCATTTTTACTCCCAGCACACAGTAAACTCTGGACATACTCATATGCTTTGCTATCAGCTGACTGCAGTTGCTTTGTAACAGCAGTCCTAGATGATAGTGCACATGATGCAGAACAGCAGCTTTTTAACTTTATAGAGGTTGATTAACACATTAGGACTCAACAAATATTCTTAAGAAAAGGAGAAATAGCTTCCTATAAAGACATTCAATATTAAGTTTAGTTCTTACCTTAGAGCTCCTAACAATGACTGGGTACTTCAGTCCTGTAACAGAATTATATAGGAGAAGTGTAACTGGCCTTAAAATGAAGCCCTGTGGAACCCCTCTACTGGCTGTCTGCCAGCCTGATGTAACCCCATTTAGTATGACATTTTGAGATCCACTCATCAGCCAATTGCTCAGCCTTTGCATTTTGTTTTTGCCTACCTGTATGCTGGACACTTTGTCTAGAAGACACTGTGAGAAACAGTATCAAAAGCTTTGCTAAAATCCAAAAAGATTCTATCAAATGGCTTCCCTTGGTCAACCAGGTGTGTCAACCTTGTCATAACAGGTGATTAAATCCATGAACAGGACTTTCCCCTTGTGATCTCATGTTGGTTGTGACCAACGACTACATTGTCTTTCAAGTGTTTTTAATAACTCCCAGAATAATCTTCATAATTTTACCAGGCACTGAAGTGAGGCTAACAGGTCTGTAATTAGCAGGGTCTTCCCCTGGCAGACTACAGAAAAGCTGCTACTCATGGACGTATGGTTGGATATAATTACATTTATAAATTGTTGTTTTTCTATCCTTCCATGATCTGTACTCTGTGTATCACTTCAGATCCAACCCACCCTCTAGGATAAAGAGTGAGCACTATCACAAGCACACAAATGCAATGTTCAAGTAAATCAGATTCTAACAGGAGAAAACAACCTATTTCCCATTTATTTTACTGTCATTTTCACACATTAAGTATTTCAACTGAAGGGTGACCTGCCTGGGAAAAACAGTGAGCTTGCTGAATACTCTCACTAACACCATTATGCCTTTTGTCTAAACACATCACAGATAGAAAGGCTAGGAAACGTGATTTCAATTGACACAAACATGTTTTGAACAAAATCTTTTTCAGGACTACAGTAAAAAGAAGGCAAAAACTGCCTTACCATCTTCACTTCCTGAAGAACTTTCTTTAGCCATCTCCATGTCTGTGACTTCAAAATCAGTCAAGATTGTCCCACCTGCTTCCTGGAAGTCTTCAGCATAGGACTGAGCCACTTGTCTGTAATCCACAATGCCAGTATATGGAGAATCAAGGGCCATCAGACCCTGAAATGGTATTAAGATACACAAAAAAAAAAAACACCAGTGAAAGTTGTATGCACACCTCGGTCTTTGATACTGATATAGTTGATATATTTCCTGGAATAATGCACACTGCCACTGAGAACGGAGTTCTGTTGTCTCCCCATCCCTAGCTGCTTGTCCCTCACCTCTCCACGTGCCAGCTCCAGTAGCAGTGTTTGTGTTTACTGACAACTAATAGGGAGAAAACCAATTACAGTGGGTTAAATAATTGTGAAACCACAGCATGAACAACTATTCATGACATAATTCTGACTTAAGTGCAATGTACTGCAAGACCATTCAAGCCCCCTTTGTTTAGGAGGAAGGGATTCAACTCAGGAAACCAAAGCAAGTGTAGGAAGGCTGAATCCAGTCATCTGCAGAAGTCAATGCTCAGCTGAGTCTTGAACACGAAGCAAAGAAAGTTTTAAGGAGTGAACACAACATGAAAAAGATGAAAAAGATTCCCTTCCACCAATTTTTTGTACGTACCTACAACCACTCATAAGCAGTGAGTCACACAACTACAGCAAGACCAAGCTGCCAGATGAAACTGCAGGGGGAGTTTACATCCATGTTCCCTTCCATCAACAACAAACCAAACAATAACAACTTTGTAACCCACAAACTGCTCACATTTCTACTGCTGTCAAAACAAACAAGTTGAAAAGTGCCACAACACATGTACGAAACAACTCCATCAAAATTGGCTTGATATCAATCTGTATTTGCAGATGAAAAGAAAAATTCATGGCTGCACTGTCAAATTTGACAGAAGCTATGTAATTTTAGTGGGAAGGTACAGAACTGTCTCAGCATAAGTTCAAATGCAGAAGTTCTGACCTGGACAAGGGAAAATCTGCCAATCAACCACAAAAACACATAAGCAGGATCCTGCAAGTAGAAGAGGAAACAAATTTTTAAAATTAGGGAGAAATTGTGGTGGTTTTTTTTTTCCTTTTTTTTTTCCCCTGAGCACATACATACACTAGAGAAGACACCTACATGTAACACAGAGCAAAGGCTGAAGTTCAAACAACTTGTAGGCCCTGACTATTTGCCTATAGATTCAGACCTAGAGGGGCTGTGGAGTCCTTCTGGAGTCACTTTGACTGAAATAATTCTGATTTCTTTGATAGGTTGCAAGTGATATTAATTACCCACTCCCCAATTCGTGAATGCTGGCTCTCATGACACAGCCAGCATTTCACTAACAATTAGTGCAGCAGCAGCAGCACACAGAGAACTGATGAACAATTAGCAGAAGAAAACCTGGGTAAAAATATCCATCAACACAAAAGATTCTTATAAGGTGGGATCATGTGATAGACCTGGTCTGAATTCTGTGGAATGAATAATACACGTGAAGAACTGGCCTTAGCTAAGAAGTCCCAGAAATGAATGGATCTGTACTTTTGTGTTGGTGGTTACATTTCTTCTAGGCTTTCAGGGCCTTTGGAGCTTAAATGCATGCAAATTCCCACCTGAAAAGCTGAGATCTTGCATGACAGTTCAATATAAGAAAATCCCTTACCCTGCAGAAGGGTTCTTTTGCCTGTATTTCTTTTGCTCCAATCAATTTCAGACCTCGGACGTTGTTCTGGAGCCCTCTCTCATACAGAGCTTTGAGTCTTGGAATTTCATCTTGTTCAACAGCTACAATTAGCTTCAGAAAAGATAACAAAGCACACTAGTGAGCAAAATACACAAAGCCCGTTCAGGCCTGGCATCAATCCCAAGCAATAGTGAGAGCAAACAGCAAATTATACAAGCAAAGGGGAAATAACATTTATATAAAGTAATAAAATAATAATAAAAATAAATAACATTTATTATAACAGCAAAGGGGAAAAAAATACAGTATGCATCACTACTGGCACAAGTTGGTAAATACCATCCACCACTGAGAGAGCACAATACAGTAAAGAAAGTGAAAAAGAAATGTTAATGTATAGTTTCAATGACTACCCATGGAAAATATTTGCTAAAAGCATTATGGGATCACAAATCAGAAAGAAGAGACGATGATTTTAAAGAGCCACTGGGATGCCTCCAAGGAGACAACACTGAACTTAATCCAAGATGCACAAAACTCAAAATTGTTTTGCTATCAGAGTAAAGGATAGGCTCTGATACCACATCTACACTGAAGTGCACCAGCCTCTCTTCATTTGAGCACGCAGTTGGATCACAGATATTGCAAGAGATTTATCCAGGCTGTGAACTGTCTGCACCAAGGACTCCAGAAGCAAGCTTGCACAGGCAACACTACTTCCAGCCCCAGCTCAGTTCTGGGAACACTGGTACCTTTGCACTACAGGGAACAAAATTATCCAGCCTGGCATTGCTTTGTTTAAAATCAGCTGTAAAGACACATCGTCTTCCCTGGAATACATATTGCTGAGGAAGGTGATGCACAAAGACACACAGTATCAGCAAAGGACCAAGAACGCTGGTGGGTCAGCACCAGCCCTTCCCAAGCACCACAACCTCCCAGCTGGCTCCCAGTTCTGTTAGAAGCTGGCTTCTAAAAGCGGGTGTAGGGCTGCACAAAGCCACACTGCCACCTTGTGACCAGTTTCACAGCTCAGGCAGCACAGCACTCTGTGCAGACAAACGGATCCACCTGCACTGCCACATCGCAGGTACCTCAGCTTTGTGTCCCAGATCTGGAAGAGATCTGCACCCAGTTCGCAGCTGGTGCTGAGGAAAAGCCACTGGGCTAGCGGCCATCACATCAGCCAAGGTCTGCATTTTTAAGGGAAAGGCCTTTGTTACCCAAGACACTTCTGAGCGATCTGGAAAGGGGAAACCAGGTAAGTGAGGTAAGTCAGGTGATAGCTTAAAGCAGCTCGAGGTGGTTTAGATACTTCACGGAGGTGATCCTGAAGAACTGCAGAGGGACCTTCTGAAGTGAGCAAGAGGTCAGCAAAATGGCTGATGAAATTCAGCACAGGTGAAGTGTGAAATGATGTTCACAGAACAAAAAGTTTTGTCTTACACAAAACGATGGACATCAGGTTCCAAGTTATTGCTCAGGACCAAGCTCTTGGAGCTATCACAGCCAGTCCTATGAAAACATCAGCTCCATGTCTTGTGACAGTAAAAATGTCCCAAATTGTGAATTGGGAACTATTAGGAAAGGGGTACAAAGCAATAATGGAGAACTGTGATATTTCACTGCAAAAATCCAGAGTCCAACCACACCCTGAATGCTGGAGCTCATCTTGTACCAAAGATGCATCAAACTACAAATGGTTCACAGAAAAAAAGATGGGAGTAACAAAAGTCATGAAACAGCTTCTCTAGCAGGAGTGACTAAGCAGGCTAAGAGTCACCAGCTGCAAGAGCTGATTTATGAGGAGCAGGAAATACAAAATGATGCATGACTGGGAAAATGTCAGCATAGACTGATTGTTCAGCATGTCTTCCAATTAAAGGGCCAACAGGCATCAGATGAAGCTAGCAGGAGCTGGTTTCAAAACCAAAAGGGGTAGATGGGCATGGGCTCATGCAATGAGTTGCTGATCTCTGAAACTGATTTTAACTGAAAAATGCTTGGACAAGAAATCCATTGAATTACCACAGACAAGCCAGATAAGGCTCAGAGTACAACTGCGAACCTGAACTGAAAGCATGTGAAATCTGGAAGAATTAGCAGATTTGCTTGTCTTGTTCTCATTCCTTCCTCTGTCTTTGGTTGTAGACACTTCCAGACACAGGTTGCATACATCCTGATCTGAACCAGTATAGCCACAATTCTGTTTCCAGCACTTCAAGACCTGGATGTAATGACATACACGCACATAGCTGGGTCACACCTGAAGCTGTATTCAAGTCAGTGAGTCTTCTCAGAGCTTGTTATGCCAAGATGCATACTGAGAGCCTTTGTGTTCCTTGGAATTGATGGCTCTGGATGGGTGCTCGCCATGGCACTTTGCTTCCGCTGTTACCTGGGCTGATTCAGCTCAGCTCTCAGATAAGGAGAATAATTGCTTAGGGTCAGTGAAGGAACTGCCTTGGGTAGCTGAGAAAAAGAAAATATGAAAACACCTTTGTCCAGGAGGCTGTAAAAAGCATCTCTTGGGAGAAACTACCATAGCCAGGCATATACAATACACTGTAATATATATTATACAGTTACAGTTTGCAAAGTAGTTCCTATACCTTCCCACACTGTTTATATGGTATTCCCTTCTGGTCACAGTACTCATAGCAGAGAGCTGCACCTTGTACACACAGCTTGGCTTTCAGGGATCCAGGAGTGTAATAAATGCCACTGTGAATTACACCACTGTTATGTCCACTCTGATGATGAGCTAAAGAGAAAGAAAAACACACTATTAGAAACACACTATTATAAAGAAAAATACACTATTACTATCCCATGATTGATTGTTTCAGCCATCAGAAAAGTGTGCTATTTGAGGTCCCGCCCTAAATCAGTGTCACTGCAAGACGTGCTGATATGATGTAACTGCACAGCACGTACAATTCCACCCTGGGTTTCAAAAGGTTAAAAAAATACAGCCTTAGCAACACTTAGTTAATAACTAACCACAATAGCTTGAAATGTCCTGAATCAACATCAGGGGGCAGCAATTTTTTGCTCCAAGAGCTACAACAGCAGGCCAGATCATCCAAGCTTCCTATGCTAATTTTAATTAATTCATATTTTACAGTGAAATACATCCTTAAAGGCCTCACTTAACATAAAGCCAGTGCGACAGTCAATTGTTTGGGGCACGTCGAGTCCAGAAGGCTTTTCAAGTTCTTGTGAACTGCATCAGCTTGCTGTTTAACTTCTTCAGTTTAGCTGGTTACTTTGCAACCAGGTCAGAGTTGAAAAACATCAATATAATTTTTACTGAAGGAATTGGGCGCGTTTTCTCTCTTCAGGTATAGAGTTATAGAGTTGGAAGGGACCATCAAAGGCCAGCTGGTCCAACTCCCCTCTTCTTCGGGGACCCCCAAAGATTGCTTAGCAGCACTGACATAACAGGGCTCCGACTTTCTTCTCTCAAAGCCAGGACAGATGTTCACATGCTGAGTGCCTCGACGTTTCCTTAAGCACACTGGAAATAACCCTCCCAACGTCTGAGGCAGCAACGGGAGCCGTGCCGCTTCAGTGCTGGCTGAGCAACCAGCAGTTGTTCCCAGCTGTTGCTGTTACCACTTCACCTTTCTCCTTCCGTGCACAGGGACCCTGAAGGGGTTGGAAGGGTCCTCAACGACCATCCAGCCCCAACCCACGGGCTGGGTGCCCCCAGCTCTGCTGCCCACAGCCCATCCACAGCCTCGAGGGATGGGCACCGCAGCTCCGGGCAGCGCCAGTGTGAGGAACACCCTCCTAATAGCCACTCTCGATCCCCCCTCTTTCAGCTTAAAGCCGTTCCTCCTTGCCCTATCGCTGTGTTTCCAGGCGCTGCGTGGGGCGGGCCGTACCTAGCTGCCGCTCCTTCTCCAGCACGGCGAAGCTGAGCGCGGGGTGCCTCAGGACGAGCTGCCGGGCGGCGCCCAGCCCCACGATTCCCGCACCGACCACCGCTACGTCGAACGTGCTACAAAAACAAGGGGCACCGGTGTGAGCGCGGTCAACTCGAGGCGGGGCGGGGCCGTCCCCGAGATCCCCTCCCGGCCCGGCCCTGACAGCACGCGGCGGCCGCGGCCTCACCTGCGCTGCCGGAGCTCAGCCCTCCGCAGCGCCACAGTCACAGCGCGGCCGCGGCGCCGCCCGAGCAGCGCCGCCATCTTGTGGGCGGGCGGCGGGCCGCGCCGAGGGACGGGCGCCGCGCTGGCGGGGCGGGCGCCGCGAGTGACGTTTCCCTTCCCCTTTCTTTCCCCTTGGATTTTCGAGATGTTGTTGGGAAAGCTTGCGCGGCCGGCGCGAAGCCTGAGCGAGCGGCTGTCACCGCGCGGCTGCAGGCGGTTCTGGGGCTGGCTGAACGCCGTGTTCAACAAGTAAGGGGCTGGCGGCGGGGCGGGGCGAGGCCTCCGGGTCTCCGCTTCTGTCTTCGTTCCTCACCGGCCTAAGAAACAGCCTGTGTGCAGTGGATCCGAGGGTTCACGGAATCACAGAATGGTCAGGGTTGGGAGGGACCTCAGGGATCACGAAGCTCCAACCCCCCACCACACACAGGGCCACCAACCTCCACATCTCACAGCAGCCCAGGCTGCCCAGGGCCCCATCCAACCTGGCCTTGAACACCTCCAGGGATGGACGGGGCATCCACAGCCTCTCTGGGCAAAATAATAAGGGTGCTAAGCACTGCCTTTTAGGAGTGCTGTAATTCCTGAGGGAAAAGCCCTCACGAATGGCTTGTCTCATTGTGACACATGTCACAGGTGTGAGAAGGGTTAATGCATGCCAAGTCAAGCTGCGTTTGTATTCTCTCCTTAACAAACGTGATGTTAAAGGGACAAACAAACGACACACAACAATGCCAGGCTGATTAAGAACCAGCCTGCTGCAGGGAGCTGCGTTATGGGGCTGTTGCACTCCATGATCTCCAGAGGTCCCTTCCAACCCCTGCAATTCCGTGCTAATAAATCTGACACCTTATAAGAAACATAAATGCTCTTCTTGGCTTTGCAGAGTGGACTACGAGCGCATCCAGGCTGTTGGACCCGACAGGGCAGCCTCAGAGTGGCTGCTGCGGTGTGGAGCACTGGTACGCTATCAAGGCTATGAGAAATGGCAGCAGGACTACAGCGGCCTCCCCACTGGGCCCTTAGGGAAATACAAGATAGAAGCAATTAATGCCACTGAGTCTTGCATCATGTATAGAGGATTTGACTATTTGGGTAAGTTCAAATTATATAGTTCTTGTAGTGCATACAAATGTTAATAACTGTAATAACTGTTAATAAATGTTGATACCTCGTTCCGTAGTAAGATGTAGAGAAATCTGGTTGGTTGGTTGTTGGTTTCCTTACAGAATCACAGAATCACAGAATCACGAAGGTTGGAAAAGATCTATAAGATCATCCAGTCCAACCACGCACCTATCACCAATGGTTCTCGCTAAACCATATCCCTCAACACAACATCCAAACGTTCCTTGAACACCTCCAGGGAAGGGGACTCCACCACCTCCCTGGGCAGCCCATTCCAGTGCCTGATCACCCTTTCAGAGAAGTAGTATTTCCTAATATCCAGCCTGAATCTTCCCTGGCGCAGCTTGAAACCATTCCCTCTAGTCTTATCACTAGTCACATGAGAGAAGAGGCTGACCCCCAGTTCACTACAAGCTCCCTTCAGGCAGCTGTAGAGAGCAATAAGGTCTCCCCTGAGCCTCCTCTTCTCCAGACTGAACAATCCCAGCTCCCTCAGCCGCTCCTCATAAGGCCTGTGCTCCAGACCCCTCACCAGCTTTGTTGCCCTTCTTTGAACACGCTCCAGGGCCTCAACGTCTTTCTTGCAGTGAGGGGCCCAGAACTGGACACAGTACTCAAGGTGCGGCCTCACCAGAGCTGAGTACAGGGGAACAATTACTTCCCTACTCCTGCTGGTCACACTACTTCTGATACAAGCCAGGATGCCATTGGCCTTCTTGGCCACCCAGGCACGCTGCTGGCTCATGTTTAGCCAAGTGTCAACCAACACCCCCAGGTCCATTTCCTCTACACAGTCTTCCAGCCACTCCGCCCCAAGCCTGTAGCATTGCTTGGGGTTGCTGTGGCCAAAGTGTAGGACCCAGCATTTGGTCTTGTTAAACCTCATCCCATTGGCTTCAGCCCAGCTACAATGCTCCTACAGAGATTCAGCAGTTCTAAGATTTTGCTGGAGGTGTGCTGGGAAGCAGGAAGAAAGATCTCAGCCTTGGAGTGGCAGTAGCACTAAGGAAGTGCAGCAAAGATTGGCTGTTCAATTGACTTCATAGTTAAGGGGTTGGTTTAAAAGAAAAGTAGTGTTTAAAATAGTGCCTTTCACCACCAGCTGATGGTTTTGGTGGCTGTGAAGCCATAATACTGCTTGTCCTCCAAGAATTTATGGTATCTTCAAAGTCAGTAAAAAACAAAAAGCATGCATCCAGTTTCTTATAGAACATAAAAAGATTTAAAAGCATTTCAGGTTTCCTTGATATAACAAAAGCCAGAGTGGGGATTAGCACCTTAATGCATTCCTAATTCAGAATCATTCTTTATCACTCAAACTTGCAGAGTTTTGTTTGTTACTTTCTGGTGCCAGAGCTTTAAGAATATTACCCAAAGGATGCCAACAGGAGGTTGTTCATAATTTGAAGTCCCACAGAGGGGACTTTGGAGATTCATTGTGCATTATATCCCTCTTGCATGTAGGAGTATGCTTCTGTGTTACTGCATTTGCAAGGGGGAATGTAACAGCCAATACTGGTTGTTGCTGGTACTCTGAAGCCAATGTTCCTTTTTGTCTTTTCAGATGGTCTTGAACACGTTACTGAAATCAAGCTGCAGAAGTGTATTTATATACAGGATGAGTGTCTGCAAAGGCTCAGCGAGACTAAGAACCTACAGAAGAGTCTCCTGCAGCTGAAGATCATTTCCTGTGGGAATGTCACAGACAAAGGCATCATTGCACTCCACAAGCTGACGTACGTGAACTGCTGAGCTCCTCTGTACCAGCCCACAGTGCTGGGATTAGGTTGCTTGGGAACGCTGAAGTCTGACTGTTTTGTGGGCTGTTCAGATGTGTGGAGCAGTGGGAGGGCTGGATTTGAGGAACTGACCTGAATAAAACTTGGGAGGGGTGGCACTGCCACTGCAGGAAACAATTCTTCATTTTGGTTGAAAACAGTGTTGTGGATAGCTTTGAAATGACATGTGAATTAATATGTATGTGTTAATCAACTTCTTCAGGTTGGTATCAGGTACTTAATGTAGCATTGAAGCTTGCAGCTGAGGGCTTCGGGCTTCAGCTGAGAAAGCCAGAATCGTCTGCAACAGTGTATGAATCTCAAGGTTTTGCTTCTACCCTTGGAGCTGAGTGCAGCACATTCCCCCTTTCCACCTGAAGTTACTTATGCAGTGTTGGTTACTGCACAAGTCAGAGCAGGGCGTGCCCTCTGTCAACACACAACCTTTGCAAGAGCAATGGGAATGAATAGATCACCTTCTTTTTGTGTGAGCACACCAGGATGGTTTTGCTTGAGAATAACTACTGACGACCATGGCTTCTTCTCCTGACACCCCTCTGTGCTGCAGTTGCTTTTCAGGGCAGGTTTTCATGGTGTCTTTTGTTATCATCTTCCTGCATCTTACAGTTTCCTGTCACTGGGTTATGTTGTGCTCAATGTAGTCTCAAGAGTTCTCTCTTGCTGTGTTCAGCCATGGGAAGAGGTATGGGATGGATACAGCACCCTCCCATAGCTTGGAAGCACATAATGTGTGCTTTATTGATGTGTGGGCTTAAGGTGGCTTAGGACTGTGCAGTGTTAGACAGTTCCATCTACCTACTAATGGGTGATGTGAAGAATTGGATTTCATCCTACAGAAAGCTATTACTAAGGACTTTTTAATAAATAAAAATAATTTGATATTTAAATAAATACTCATTAAATTTAAAGGAAGCTTGATGATGTTGAGGGGCTAGGACCTCTTTTTAAACTGTGTAGAAGGACTGAATTTGCTGTCAACTAAAAACTTCAAGCACTCCATTTAGAATATATAGAAGAAATCTTCTGTGAGGATCATTAACCTTTCAAATACTCATAATAGCTGCAGTAGAATCGTTGTTTGCCTGATATCTGAGTCAGCAGTTAAATAGTAGTTGCTGACTTTTCTTCTTATGTGTTTATAGGAACCTTGAATATTTGTATCTGAGTGACCTTCCTGGAATAAGACAGAAAGAAACTACTGCTCGTGTCCTTCAGCAGGCACTGCCAAACCTAGAGCTGGAGCTGGATCTGGACTGAATGCAATGAGGGATATTTGATTTCATACTATTTATCACACGTTGCATAAATTAAGTTGTGGATGCTGCTCTATTTACAGGTATGGAAATAAACCCAGATCTCTCAATCCAGCCTTGAAAATCATTGCAGTCTTTTAACAAAATATGCAATTAAATTTCATTAAGCTTAAACTATATGATGAATCAACAGGATTCTGTGTGTAGTAGTAGGCTTTATAGGAAGCCTTAATACATCAATCAGAAGTTATAAAATACTGTATTGCACAAAAGTTCTTGTGTAGAATGTCAGGGAACAGAATGGCAGTATTGTGATGCAGCAGTGCTGTGCAGATTTATTATACAGTGTTGATGCCATGTGAATCATAAAGCCATGGAATCCTTAGAGTTGGAATGACAGCCATTTACTTTGTTTGAAGGTGTCACCTAGTCAATGAGTGACAGTAGCTTCTGGGCCTTTGTTCTGTTGTTCACACTTTGACTGGCAAAGTCTTTCTCTGTTTCCATTGGATGGAGCTACAGACAAGCAGTCTATCAGAAAATCTGAGCTGATGAATCGACTATCTGGATTTGTGGAGAGGTAGGCTCTCTTCAATGAGCCCTTGTACATTTTTGCCATACACTCACATGGATTAAACCTTTGTACCTCTTGACTTGCAACCATATCACTAAGTAAGAGAGTCAGCCACCCTCAGGAAAGATACATCCTTTTTAGTCAGCTCCTGAGCTTCGGTGGTAGTTCAAAGATGGGAGGTGATGATTCCAAGAAAGCCACTTTCATAGTAATGCCCCTAGCATAGCTACCATGCCAGAGCTGAGAGTCTCTTTTATTATCCCCAGCTGCCACCTTATCCTCAGAATTAAATGATGCCAAGCACTGGAAGGGATAACGTTTTTGTACCAGCTGCATCTCAGGGCTGATAGCTCCTAGCACAGAGCAGGCAGGAGCGGCGCCAAGGGAAGTTCCCTCCAGCCTGCACTGCCCAGGGCCGTGTCCAAGAGCTGACTGCTAGGCTGTTAGTTCACAGCTGCACATGGATGTTGGGTGCTTAGCAAATACACAGAATTAGATGACTCAGCCATACAGCAATGCCAAAGCGTTTTGTGCATAACCAGAACCAACTGACAAGGTCCAGGATTAAAATATAATATGGAATACAAGGTAGGCAGTTATGCTTAGTAAGGATGGAGCTTCTGTTTCACTGAAATTGCTCTTACTGTTGCTGAACACATAACAGAACTGGGAAAAGGAAACATTTTGCTCTAATTTTCAAGTAGGAAGAGGTAGTATCTTGACCATTATTAAAACCTTACATGGTAAAACACATCCTGGAAAAACAAGCTACATTTCTTTTATTAAAAATCAACACAATATTACATTCTGGATTTACACAAAATCCAAGATTTGTTCTAATACACAGACTTAGGCAAAATTTCTGCCCGTGTCTGGCTATTGTTATAAATTATATTGAATTGTTTTTGATAAAAACAATTTCTGTAACACTACAGGCGAATGACTTCACATGACAAAACCAGCAGATATAAATAACTTCATAATGCAGGGAAGAGACAGACAGGAGAAGCTCTGGAAAGGCCAAAGAAAAAAGCAGCCCAGTAATTACATTCTCCTTCTGTTCACAGTGCCTGTGGAGCCTTCCAGTAAGTCTAAGTCAATGCCTGTGCTTGTAACACTTTATGCCGTATGCAGGATAGACATATCTTTAAAACACTGCTATTCCAGCAGGTTTGTAAGTAGCTGGACCAACCTCAGCTGTGCGCATACACACACACACACACACACACACACACACACACACACCTGTCTTCCACTCACAAAGGGAATAGGTTTACAGGACCTTGCAGGATCTGTTAGCTAGCCACAGTGACTCTGATTTATTCGGCAGGGTTACAGTTCTCCTGCCAAGTCTGAAATACAGCTAATAGATAGGCAACAGAGTTCTCGAGATTCACCCTGTAAACACTGCTTTGCAGTAATCCTGAACCAGTAGGCAATCACAAATTAAAGTAAAAAAGAATTATAAGTAAAGAAAAATTAAAGCAAAGAAGAATTATATTTTCTTTACACAGAACACTGGCTAACATGAGCTTGGAGTGCGCCACTTTCCTTCCACCAGTAGCCCAGAGTACCTTACAGTCCATTTCTGTATACATCATCACCTGTATTAATTCAGTTTACCACCACATGGCCTTTTATAAGTTCTGAAGGACTGGAACTTTGAACACTATGTAGTTTTTCATCTGCCACCCACTTAGATGTTAGGGAAATGGTAGTTGGATTTCCTCGTTTTGCAGAAGTACTTCTTGCTGTCCAAAGCTGGCAGAACATTGCTGCTGCTTAACTGAGGCAGGTACTGGAAGTAAAGCAAGAGTTACATCATGTGTAGTTGTTTGAAAGGAAGAGACAGCATGCAGTTCATCTTTCAAGCAGGAATATAAGGTATAAAAGGTATAAAAAAATACTGCAGTGCTGTACTTTTCAAACTAAGAGTCACGAGCACAAGCAGTTTGCTCAGCAGTCCTGCTATACCTCATCAAGAATGCACTTTCCTAAATAAACCTCATCTGTCACGTTGCTATGCTGCCTATCTCCAGTCACTTGATGGAGCTGCAGTGCAGAATTCAGCCTCAGTGAGTTACTCTTTAACCAGGAGATTCCTTTTAGATCTGTTTAGATGTTGTACTGAAGGACATGGTTTAGTGAGAAATACTGGTGGTAGGTGACTGGTTGGACTGGATCCTGGAGGTCGTTGCCACCCTTAGTGATTCTATGGCTCTATGATTTTCTCCTCGGGCTAAAATTAAGGCTGCTCCAATTTGAGAGCTTTACCTCCCCATGAACTGCCCAACCTGTTCTTGAGCCCAACTTGTGGGCACCATATGAGGAAAACAACTTCCCTCCATAGACACTGAGCATTAAACACTACTATGAAAACCTTACCCCCGGCACGTGCTTCCGTGTCAGCTTGGCTGGTTTCCGAGCTGCTTTTTCATGTTCTTTCCCCAGATCTGCCTCCCTAATGCTGTCAAAATAGGGGTGCTGCAGCAGCTGCTCACACGTCTGCCTCTCCGCAGGGTCCATACGAAGGCAGCCCTTAGAAAAGACCAAGGATCACACAGGACATAAAGATACATTAAAGGTCTGCACGATTCCATCTCTTTGCAACAGCCAATTTTATTTACACAGATGGATGCGTAAGTTTTATTTTTCAAGGAATTCTACAAATCTGGCTTTTTAGAGTCAGCTGGAAACTTGCAAAGCAGCTCACGCTGAACAAATGCCACCTTTGACAAAAGGCAATACTTAGAAACTGAGGCTAGAGGAAGTTTTGTTCTATAGCAAACCATCAAGTCTCAGAAAACAGTTAAGCCCATGACTTCCAGTTGAACTAAAACAGTCTTCTTAAACTGAGGAATCCAATGCATCACTAGCTGTGTTGTTTTGGTGCTACCTAAAGCTGTACCTTAGTTTTAATGCATTCACCCTCACAGTTTCCACTTGGTGGATCTTAATAGAGCAATTTGTTTTCCATATCTGTGCTAATGAGTGGATTAACGAGAAGCAGATTAAAAGTTTTCTCCAATTCCCCTGCAGCTCTGTTTTTCTATGAACCTATGATCGTTCAGTAGCCAAATCTCAAACCATTTACCACCTGAATAAGCAAAGCAGCCTGCATTTGTTAAGTCTCAGTGTGGAGCTCAAGCTGTAGCTCCTCACCTCCTGGGCACGCTGCTTTGGGTAGAGGACCCTGTGAGCTTCAGCCACATGGTGACACTTTGCTTACCTTCATGAGAGCTAAAGCAGGGTATGAAATACTAGGAAATTTCATTTCCAATGGCTCCTGGAGAAAAAAAAAAAAAAAAAAGAGTAGTTGTGTTAGCAAGCTCTTCTTTCACCACACTGCCTATAGATTGCTGGTTAGTGCTGGGCTTGAGGGGAACACATCTGAAGGGAGCTCCTACCATGCTCTCTGGGTCTGGAATTGTTACCCCGCTGAAGAACTGGTTGGTGCTGAACACTTGCTGGTGCCTGGGAATAAGATCCCCTTCGAACAAGGAGAAAACAGAATTAAAAGCAATCAGAACAATTGGCTGGTTTTACAGTGTCTGCTATGAGCAAGCTGATCTCCTAGCAAGGCTGGCAGCATCCAGGAGAACACTTAAAGAGACAGAATACCATCAGAGGAGCCAACAAAATACTGTTTTGTGAACACCCCCCATCAGTCACCTCAAGGAATTGGAAGTTGAACTATATTCCTAGCTAAGGAGTTTACAGCCCCAGCTCACCTTTGTGCTTTTATACATTGCTCAGCAAAACATCACAGTTCTCCACTCATTCCAACAAATATGAATCAAACGTGGAGCTCTGTTCCCTCCCAGCCCAGAAATCCGTCATTGCACAGCAGCATCCATGGAGGAAACCCATCCTCACCCAGCCGTGGTGGGCCAATGCTGCTTACCCAACGTTCTCCTGATGAGGTACAGCTGGTCCACGTCCGACTTGCCGGGCCACAGCGGCACCCCGGAGAGCAGCTCCGCGAAGACGCAGCCTATTGCCCACACGTCCACAGGAGGGCCGTACTGCGTGTCCCCCACCAGCAGCTCTGGGGAGCGGTACCACCTGGTCGCCACGTAGTCTGTGTAGTAATCAGCTGGGCCAGCTGGGTTGGGGGCAGGAAGGAGAGGAACAAAGCGGGGTGTGGGGTCAGAAGGGTGCTGACACAGCTCAGGGCAGCAACAAGAGGCTGCCCAGAGAGGCTGTGGATGCCCCGTCCATCCCTGGAGGTGTTCAAGGCCAGGTTGGATGGGGCCCTGGGCAGCCTGGGCTGCTGTGAGATGTGGAGGTTGGTGGCCCTGCGTTGGTGGGGGTTGGAGCTTCGTGATCCTTGAGGTCCCTTCCAACCTGGGCCATTCTGTGATTCTATGATCAACGGCATCTTCGGGACCCACGTGAGCTCCAGGAACAGGATGAGTCACTGCCCACCAGCAGAATCCAACTTTGCAAACACTCAGGAGTTGGGAAAAACCAAGAGCATGTTTTTCTCAAAATGAAAACACGCAGAGCTCGGCCGCAGGCCCCATGCCAGCTCTCAGAGCCCACATGATTTGCTTGATCAATAAAATTAGGGGCTTTATTACGATGGAAAATGTGAAGCCATTGTTTGCAGAGATGGCACCTTCTGCCAAAGGGAGCCCTCCTGCTAGGGAACTCCAGCTGTGCCCCAGCATTGCACAAGCAGCAGTCAGGCCAGCCGCCATCCCCAGCTCAGCACCAGCAGGAGCTCAGGGCACATTACTTACAGAGGCATTCAACTGCCTGAGCTAGCCCTGTTTAATCTGCTCTGGGGATCTCAATGCCTTCAGCAGAACCTCTTTGTAAAAACACACCAGCCCTCATATGTTACACAAGATGTAACATTACTGAGGTCTGAAAGCCCAAACCTGCACTTTGCTGAGCCCTGGCATGTATCACCCATGGAGGCAGGCAGCAGCACTCACTCAGCATGCGAGCAAATCCGAAGTCACAGAGTTTGATGACAGAGTGTTTCGTTATCAGGATGTTTTCTGGCTTTACGTCTCGGTGGATGCACTGGAAACAAACAAAATCAGAAAGTGAAAAACAAACCACATCAAGTTAGAAACAGCTATTTTAGCTTGGAAAACAGCTATTGTTTAGCTTGGAGAAGAGGGGACTCCAGGGAGACCTCATTGTGGGCTTTCAATACTTGAAGGGAGTGTATAAACAGGAGGGTTAGGCTGTTTACAAGGATGGATAGTGATAGGACAAGGGGGAATGGTTTTAAAGTGAGACAGGGCAGGTTTAGGTTGGATATGAGGAGGAAGTTTTTCAGCCAGAGGGTGGTGAGGCACTGGAACAGGTTGCCCAAGGAGGCTGTGGATGCCCCATCCCTGCAGGCATTCAAGGCCAGGCTGGATGTGGCTCTGGGCAGCCTGGGCTGCTGGTTGGCGACCTGCACACAGCAGGGGGTTGGAACTGGATGAGCACTGTGCTCCTTTGCAACTCAGGCCATTCTAGGATTCTATGATTCTATTTAACCTGGCCATTGGACAAAGAATTGCTCAATTTAGCTGCTGTTTATTTCTTCTCCTGAGGGCTGAAGTGCTGCTTGCCAACCCAGCATCACAGAGTTCCAGAGAAGGGTGACTGCATAAAACCTCATTACCTGTGATCTACAGCAGGTCAGCCTCTGCTAATTGTTCCCCAGCTTTAAAACTCCATTAAATCTTTCAGACTGAGAAAGGGAGAATGAAAAAGTCAAATCCTGAAGGCAGGACAGACCTCTGAGCAAGTCCCTGTGTGTCAGCCTCCAGAAAGCAGAGGAGGGGTTGTAAAGCAGCTCTCACTGCTGTGGGTACACACTGCTATTTCAGGTGGGTGTTTTCTGCTGAAAATGGGAAACATCATCTGACTTTTTCCCAAGAAAACTCTGCTATCAGGAAAACAGCATCAGAATCTGTGTCTCACCCAAAGGCACATCACAGCTCTGCTCAGGGGACTTACGTTGTGTTTGTGACAAAAGTTCACAGCTTGGAGGGTCTGCCAGGTAATGCTCCTGACCAGATGCTCCGGAACCCTGTTACAAAAGCACATTTTTACTATTTGGGTCAAGCAATTTCAGTATTACAGGAGAAAGCAGAGCCTGTTGCAGGAGGCAAAGCTCTTCTGGGAGACTGCTGTCCCAGCACAGCAGGAGGAGCTGAGGGACCATGAGCACCACTTCCCCATCTGGTCAGCACAATGAGAGAGCAGGATGTATGGCAACCCAGAGCATCCCAGAGCACCCGGTGCCACTCAGCCAGTTTCAAGCTCAAAACCAATTTTATTTCCGATGTTTAATGCTCCAAGACTTTTGATTCATCATCAATAAAAAGATAAGCCAAAAGAAAATGCAAGAGGCTGGCCTCAGGACACCCTCCGCTGTCAAAACAGAAAGTCTTGTGCTGATGCAGCTGTTGAAAAGCTTGAGTTTCCTTGCAGAAACATCCTAGAAGGCTGAGTGCTGTGCTGACAGAGGGATGAAGCTGGTGAAACGACCCAGAACAGCATGTGAAGAGGCATGAGCCCTCCCTTCTTAACCCTGACCATGAAAGGCTTTACCTTCTGAAGGAGCAAAGATCAAAAGCCTGGTATGGCTGTCAGGGGGAAGTTGTTTGCTGTGAGAGTGGTGAGGTGCTGGAACAGCTGCCCAGAGAGGCTGTGGATGCCCCGTCCATCCCTGGAGGTGTTCAAGGCCAGGTTGGATGGGGCCCTGGGCAGCCTGGGCTGCTCTGAAATGTGGAGGTTGGTGGCCCTGCCTGTGGTGGTTGGGCTGGAACTTGGTAGTCCTTGGAGTCCCTTCCAACCCAAGCCATTCTATGATGCTATCATTAGGATATTAAAGATATCATTAGGTATTAAGGAGGATATAGTAGGTGGGAGTGTCAAAGGAACAAACCCTCTCCACCTGGGAAATGTTCCTTCTGCTCTCGTAGCTCACTCTGTGTGCATGTGACTGTTTGCAGAGGAGGGTATCTGACCCCTGGGAGCTCAGCAAGGCACAGCTCAGGAAGCCCTGTCAGCCAATGTACACTCCTGGGCTCCACCACTGCTCTGCTACACAGCAGTCAGTGCCATGTGTCTATGCTGAGTGCTCTGCCACAGCCCTGACCTCTTAGCTGTGGGACACAAAGCCTCCTGCAGCCACTCAGCCCCACTGCTGCCCAGCCAGCTGCACACCACCCAAACGCTCCGGCTCAGCGCCCTGCTCACCATGATGAGCCACACCATGCAGGAGCACACGTGGGCTTATGGGCAGCAACAGGTAACCCTGGGCACTGTGATGAGAAACCTCTACTGGTATGAATGATATTTCCTCTGGGAACTCTGCAGAACTGCAGTGGGCTCCCATGGACAGCCTGGGCTCCTTTGCTCCAAGCTCCCAATGAGAGAAGGACCACTCACCCCCGGGGATGCTTGTTCAGCTCGTGGAGAACAGTGTGGTCGCAGTACTCAAAGACCAGGTGCAGCTTCCTCTTCCTCCTGAACACCTCCAGCAGGTTCACCAGGTTGGGGTGTTTCAGTTGCTGTAACACACAGCAGACAGGTCGGTTGGTTACTGCACGTAGCCAGGCTTTGCAGCGCTATGAAAAGCAGCTCTCCTTGGGGAATCACACAGTAACACACAAACACACAGTGCAAACAAAGAGCTCCTCTGATAAGCGTAAAGAAAGTACGTGGACTCAGCATCTCCAGGCTGTTGCCAGAATTTGGATGGGTTAACAAACACATTTCTAAGCAAGGGAGCTGCAAAGGGCATTGCCTAGGAGCCACGCTCACCCTGTCTTCCAAGGGGCCTCTCCATCAGACAGAGCCTGCAAAGGAGCGGGGAGCAGAAATGCACAAGGAGCCACAGCTGGGGAGCACCCCAAAAACCCCCACTGCAATTCCCCCTTTGGGAAGCAGCAGCGTTGGCTTTCTACTGCCCCCAGTGGGGTCTGCATGCAGACCAGCTCTGTTTTGCACATTTCCAGCACACCCCACAGGATCCACCTGCTGCCCACTGCATGGAACGGTCCTCTGTCAGACCAATGTCACACAAGCGCACCGTTTCTTTGGCAAACAGCTGCTGCCTGAGCCGGGCAGTGCTGCCACAAACAAGCTGTTACTATTGACAGAAGGCTGAGCAGCCAGCCACGCAGCTCTGCACTCCGTAACCCAATGCTGCTGGGGCTGCTGCTGGCCCTGCGGCCCTCAGGATGCTGCTCCTCCATCTATGTTACCAGAGCCTTCTGCAGTTCTCCTGCCCGCATTTGTAATGCCATTTAAATCTTAATGTATTGTTTGCTGTAACAGCACAGCTATCAGACCTCTGTGCTCCTCTGACAGTAACATGGTGTTGTTACATATGTAGGTGTTCAGTAAGGGATGAGTGGATAGCATGAGAGGCATTTGGAAACACTGTGACCTGCCGAAATCTCCCTCTGCTTTGGGGAGCTGAGAGCCACTTGCTTCCCAGAGAGCAAAGCTGAGCAGCTCCATGGGAGGAAGCATTGCAGTAAGCAGCCATGGGCTGGGAGTATGGAGAAAGGAGATGGGAATCATAGAATCCTAGAATGGCCTGGGTTGCAAAGGCCCACAGTGCTCATCCAGTTCCAACCCCCTGCTGTGTGCAGGTCGCCAACCAGCAGCCCAGGCTGCCCAGAGCCACATCCAGCCTGGCCTTGGATGCCTGCAGGGATGGGGCATCCACAGCCTCCTTGGGCAACCTGTTCCAGTGCCTCACCCCCTGCAATAGGATGCCCAAGGAGGTTGTGGATGCCCCTTTAAAGGCAGAAGGTGGTAGTTTGCAAGGAAGCCACAGAATGAAACAGAACATCATTCTCTGCAGCTCTATGGAGTTTTAATTTCAGAACCTTACACCCTTGGTGGACTGCAAGAGTGTGATGTGTTTGTAAAGCTATTCTTCTCCTGCCCCGGTGTGGCTGGCCCCATACCAACGCCGTGTTACAGCAAAGGAAGGGAAATGTAGGAACGAAGCGTTCCTATGGCTGTGGCACGGCTGCCTCAGGGCGCCATGGAGACCAAACGAACACAAGAGCGCAAAAAGAGGCAGACTGAGCAAAGCCACAAAGCTACGGACACAACCTCCGGCTCCGGGAGCTGTGCCTGAAGGCTCCGGGGAAGAAACCCCCAAAACCACGAGGACAGAGGCCGGATCAACCCGTTAGGAGTGCGGCCACCCCTTCCATGGGCACAGCGGCCAGGTCAGCCCCTCTCCGCAGCGCAGCGGATGGATGCTCGCCCGCTCCCCGCGCGGTGCCGCCCACCTTCAGCATGCGGATCTCCCTCAGCGCGATTTTCCGGATCACCGGGTCTTCCTCGGACTCCAGGAACTTCTTGATGGCCACGATCTGGCCCGTCTCCCTGTTGCGGCACTTGAAGACGACGCCGTACGAGCCTTCCCCGACCTTGCCCAGCTTCTCGTACCGCTCCATGGCGCGGCTGCGCCCCCGACCTCAGCCCAGAGCCGCGGTCAGCGCCTCCCCGGGGCGGGGAGGAGGAGGAGCTGCGCCCGGGGCCGCCGGGACGGGCACGATGCTCTCCCCCGAGATCCGAGGGCTTCGAGCTGCGTGCGGGCAGCAGGGAGGCTGTGATCCCGAACCCGGAGCAGCCCGGTGGGCTCCTACCGGCAGTAATCCTTCAGCGCTTCCGTCTCTTTAACTTTGCGTTCTCTTTCCGCGTGCTCCAGCTGTGAGATGAGCTCACCTTATGTCCTCGCACACACTGCACGGCAGCGGTGGGGTCACCGTCCCTGGAGGTGTTCCAGAGCCGTGGGGATGTGGCACTGAGGGATGTGGGCAGTGGGCACGGTGGGTGGGATGGGGTTGGGCTTGGAGAACTCAGAGACCTTTTCCAGCCTGAGTGATTCTATGGTTCTTTGTGCGATGTCCCCCAGCAGAACTGCAGGTCACCGAGGTGCTCCTGGCTCCATCAGGACTGCAGTGGCACTCAGCCCTGCCTGTGGCCCTTCCCACCGACTGCCACAAAGGCAGAGATCAGTTTACTGGGGTCCATCCGATGAGGCATTGTTCCCAGCAAGTGCACCGCACCAACGCAGGTATCGAATAAAGCATCGTTTATTTGGCATAGACTGAAATGAACAGCAACAAGAAACAGAAGCAGAACAAAAAGCCTAAGTTGCCCAAATGGGAACGCATGCTGTCAGTCTCGGTTACAATCTATGAAACAAAACAGTTCAGAAAGTCTCAACAAACAGAGACGGCACCCATCCGAAGGAGCTGGGCCATGTGGCCACTGGTGCCAAACTGCTCCGAGGAAGCAGGGAGGCTTTGCAATGGGAATCAGCACCTCACAGCTATGTGCACAACGCCCATCCGTAAAACCAGACCGTGCATTTCAGAACACACCATGAGAAATGCTTTCACAGCTCCAAAAGGGGGTTTGCTTACAGGAGGACTTTCCTACAGCCTTCTATATGATTCAGAAAATCACCAGCCCCTCACATCACTCCCAGTACCTTCCCTTGGTTATCTTTGCACAGCAGCATCCTCACCTAATGCTAATCCTCTCCTATGGGCTCCAGTTATTCCCATAAACTCTTAAACATTACGTGCAGATTTCTCTCAGTCTTTGAGATCTCCCTGAGGTCTCTGTAGTGATGAAGCCCAAACTAACTTCTGCAGTGAGTGAAATGAGAGCAAACACTTCCTCTACAACATCCATATGCTGTGCTTCACTTTTTCTTTGCTTCTGCAGTAGAGCTGCTGCTGTAATCCAGGTGCTGCACCACCTGGGGCTGCTCACCCAGCACTGCTCACCCTGCACTGCCACCGCAGGGCACCCAGTCAGTGCTGGAGAGCTCAGCTTCCTTCACACATGGAACTTAAACCTCTCCCTCACTACTGCCCATCCAGCTGCCCACTCGGCCAACTTCCAAGCATTGGTGGTGGCTGATTTTTTGGTTCTGACGTACATCACTTATCAAACCCTTATATGGAACTGAAAAGCCAGACTTGATGTAAACCTCAAGTCAGTAACAAGAATTGCTTCTGAATGACACTGCTAAATGGATAAAGCACTACACACCATGCAGTCTGCTGGTGCTCCTTTCCGACCTTCAGAACACCCACACCTGGCAACAAAGCACATTACTGATGCACCACGTGTGTGAGCTCATCCCATCGGTGTTCAATTCCAACCAGGCAGGCTGGTGCCCACGCAGGCATCCCTGTGCTCCATCTGTCAGATTGGGAGTTCAATCAACCTCCTCCAGTTCTGCTCGCAGCCTTGAGCCAGGCCCAGCTCAGTGCCATGCTTCCATTCCTGCCCCGTTACAGTGACGCACAGAGCTCCCAACCCATCTCTCTTAGGGCAGCAGGATGGATGCTGCATGCTGCAGGGTTCCATTAAGTTGTTTGCTGTGAGAGTGGTGAGGTGCTGGAACAGCTGCCCAGAGAGGCTGTGGATGCCCCGTCCATCCCTGGAGGTGTTCAAGGCCAGGTTGGATGGGGCCCTGGAGCTTCATGGTCCTTGAGGTCCCTTCCAGCCCAAGCCATTCTATGATTCCATGAATTCAGAGCCTTCCAATCTTAACAAAGCACTGCTCTATGCCTACAGACTGAAGCAAGCAGGTGGATGTAAGGCAGCAAAACCATCATCAGCCCAAGATACCTCGAAGTCTTAATGAACGAGAAAGACAAAAGAACCCACATGGCTTTTTAATGGAGGAACAAAACCAGAAAGAACAACGCAGCTGACAAAAACAGGGAAAGGGAAGAGGTGATGGAAAGCTTTAATACAGAATACTCCTTCTTATCGTATTTATTTATACCACCCAGTGGGGAACGCGGCACCCAAAGCCCAGCAGGAGGAGGAGGGCAGAGCAGAGGGCCGTGCAGCTCCGCTCTCCCCTTGGGATCAGCATAAATAATCTACACGTCAGGGCAGCCCGATACACGACGCTTCCATTCATTAAGGATGATGCCCAGGTGCAGTTTCCACCTCCTGTCACCAGGTTCATCCCTAACTTGTGAAAATAAAGCATATATATTTTGTACATTTATATATATATATAAATATATATATATAGATATAAAAATACACGCCGCCGGTCAGCTGGATACACATGCACACATGCACACACACATGGGTGTGTATGGCACACACCCACCCGGTAGCAACACATCAATACCAACACAATATTTTGTGTACACACCCCCTACGTCTAGCAAATAAGAAAATCCCTTTTATGGCAATTCTGCAGGCAAGAAGAAAATCAATACAAAATACTTGGTTGTACAAAACTGCATTTTTACAAAGTCCGACGCTGTAACATAGCCTCAGTAATGCACTACATCTCTACAAGGAAAAGAATCATCAAATCTTTATACAATTGTAAAAAAACAACCACCAAACCAAACCTGTGAGCTGCTCTGCAACCTTCCTGTGCTAAAAGTTAGATCCGTTACACCACCCTAGCAGCAGATTAATAAATAAGGATTAAATAGTCTATAGTACAAAGCCATACCGAATGGCAGACTTAAAACCAAAGAGCTCTGCGGATATTTTCACTCCCTACACAAATTGGGTTTTTTAATTAAGAATAAGACTTGGTATAAAAGGGGGAAACAGCCACTAGGTCTGTATCTACAGAATGCATGGGAAACCCGAGGGAAGTAAAATAATTAACAGTTTATGGCACCTTTACTGAATTACATTATTTTAAAGGCTCTGTTTCCCTACACTAATGAGTAAAGGGCTACTTATATCATAGCTTTTATTAAGCAAACTTGACATAACCAACCACACAGTGGCAAGAGACAGAACCAGCTGTTCCCAGCTGCAAAAATGTATTGATTTCCACCTGAAAACAGCAAAATTTAGGTGTCAAGAGAAGAAAAGAGTCACAGTCCCACATGTACTGAGTTTCTTAATGCTCCTTTTTCCTCCCGTGGTGAATCCACCACGCTGGGTCACTGCAGCTCAGTAACTGTTTTCATGGCCAGCCAAGATGTAGAGGTTGCTGTGTGCAGTTGGGTTCTCCGTCGGCCTGCTCTCCAGCACCACCACTCTGCAACCAAACACAAACAACACCCAAGCAGTCAGCAGCAAAGCATGGAGTACGTGGTTGTTACAGCTTTCTCAAGGCTGGGGAGAGAGGCAGCTCCTAAATATTGGGGCATTTTGTCCTTTAAACCCGTTACCTCGTTTCCCACTCTGTAGCATCTCTTCCTTACCAACACTAAGGCAAACAAGGGGCAGGGGAGCAGTCTGCCCTCTGACCCATAGGCAGCCCCTCCTGTCCTTCCCTTCTGCACCTCCACAGCTCTGATGGGATCCAAGAAAGAAAGGTGTTACTGGAGCTCAGCTGAATGTAGTAAGAAAGTCTTCTGTCTGGACAGTGATAAAAGGAGGAACTGGGCAGATTGAAAAGGATGGAAAAAACTGCACATAGCAGCAAAAGCTTATTCTTGTGATCAACTTGCTCTACTGGGGGTCAGTGGGAAAGAAATCACCACTGCCTGTCATAGAATCCTAGAATCCTAGAATGGCCTGGGTTGCAAAGGCCCACACTGCTCACCCAGTTCCAACCCCCTGCTGTGTGCAGGGTCACCAACCAGCAGCCCAGGCTGCCCAGAGCCACATCCAGCCTGGCCTTGAATGCCTGCAGGGATGGGGCATCCACAGCCTCCTTGGGCAACCTGTTCCAGTGCCTCACCACCCTCTGGCTGAAAAACTTCCTCCTAATATCTTACCATGCAACACAACAGGCAGAGCCCTGCCAGAGGCTGCACAGCATTTATATCTCTGCAGTCAGAGGTGGCTGTGGGAAGAGCACTCAATTCCAATGGCAGTGCTCGGGCACAACGAGCCCCCAGTGACTCAGGTGCACAGCAAAGACTGTAGTGGGGAAATACACAAGTACACACATCCAAACCCAAAAGAACTGGGGCAGCTTGAGCAAAGGTCTCCCACCTGGAGGCAGCAGTGTGCACTGCAGTTAGGGCTAACAAGGTGAATGCACCACAGCACATTCAAACCTCAAAGAGCTCCAAGCTTGCTCCACTATTTCCACATCTCAGGGCCCAGAGCAGCAAAGGCCTTTTTAGAAGTAATCTGTTGCCAAGATAACATCAGTTCAACATGAAAATCATCACAGCTATTGCAGGTAGAAACAGTGCTATTTGTCCTCCAGGACTGCCTACAGATGGATTTGTTGTGGGATGGAACCCCATTCCATGTGGAAAGCTCATTTAAAGAAAAGAGGTGTATGTTTCTTCACAGTGATTACCTGTCAGAGCCCAGTAAGCGAAAAACCCTGGTTTCATCTGATATCTCCTGGGTAACCTGCAGTAAAAAGGAGATATTAAGGTCCATTTCAGAGGCAAAATGAGATGCTCTGGTCTGAGCTGGAAGGAAGAAAGAAATCAAAAATGCAAATATAATTCAGTAAAAATTACAGGACTGAATCAGATAAACTAGTACTAAGTAAAGAAGTGTTCTAAACTTCATAAAGTAAAGCTTACTTTAAATCATTTTTTTATTGCTGCTTACACCAGATCTGCAGAGCCTCTGCACAGAGCCTCTGGGTGATACTCCTGGAAACAGAGGTGCTTAAAGCACAGTGTGAGTTTTTCAAGAGCAATGCATCAGGGAAGTCAGAGAAAGCAAGCAGCAAGCTGAAACAGGGCCAACACCGGGCACAAGCACTGCCACCTGGGGAGCAGCTGGAGGGGCCTAAGGATAACTGGAAAATAATGAGCAGGACTCAGTCAAACCAGGAGACACTGGGAGGTTACTCACTTCATCTGACTTGAAGCTCTTGCCCTGCATGCCATGCTTCCAGAAGGCCAGCACGCTGTCCTGAAGGCACACTGCAGAGGAGAAACACAAACTCAGACCCAGGCCTGGCTTATCAGAACCAGGAAATCTGGGATTCTCACCAGCAGCGATAATGGGAACCACGTGGACAAAGAGCATGTGAGACTTTGACTCGTGACAGAAGGACCAAACTAAAATCTGTATAAAAACCTGGCTGCAATCACCATTTGGATCTGAGGCACACATTACTTCCTACAGTTCAGCTCCAAACACACCACTCACACACTCACTGTTTGCCAAGACAAGACACAGCCCTCTGTTTTTTCCCTTTTTTCCCATCACTTTCCTGGCTTTTTATTTTCCTACTGATTTGATTCTGGAGACAGCACCAAGCAGTGCAGAGATGCACTGCCAACAGCACTGGGGATTGCTGGAAATTACAGCTCAGTGCAGTGATTACTTTTACTTCAAAATAGACACAAGCATGAAGAATGGGGAGGACTCTGCCACTCAGGCCAAAGAGAGAGCACAGTGAACTACCAGCTCTGAATGATTTCATTATCAGATTCTTTATAATAATGGCTGAAGAACCCAGTGTTCTTTAAGCAGTATTGCAGAAACTTTGTTTATACAATGCTTTGTTTTCCTTGTGTCCTTGCTCAGCATTAGCTGTGTCCCAGATGCACACACCAAAGGCACTCAGCAGAGCCCTGAGAGCAGAGGTTTTCTCAACAGCCAACTCAGCTGCCCTCCTTCTCCCATTCTCAGCCCTTCAGAGCAGATAACCCAAACACTCACCCACTGATTCAATGCAGAAATCAAAGCTCAGCTCCGAGGCCAACTTCTTGCTTGACTTCAGTTTCCCTTGTAAATTCACTATTTTCACAAATTCTTAAGGAAAGCAGAAAAACAAGCATTAAAAGCCACGCCTGCAAAGGATTACTGAGTACGAAATACTGATTTCAACTTTGAGGTACAAAAACAAAATGCTCACACCTGACAGCTGTGCTGTGTGCCCCAAACAAAACCTTCTCTCTATATGAATAGAGAAAACTTTCTTACAGATTTCATGTCTTTAGACTTTACTGATGGCCTTCCTGAAAATACCCAGCTTGGTGCAGGAATGCAAACGCAACATCAAGGCTGCAAATGTAGGCAGATTAAGTCACTGCAGATCCCAGTGAGGTGCTGACCTCTGGGGCATACAAATCACTGCTACAGTCACTGTGTGTGTATTTGAATTCTCATCTGCAATGCTGCATTACAATGTGTTGGGAAAGAAGCAAGAATGATGAGCACATGGAGAGGGAAAGTGGAATTGTGAGAGCCAAATTGAAAAGAGCAATCCATAGCATCAGTTACCTGCGTGGTGTGTGTTAGGAAACATTACATACAAATGAGTAATGAAGAGAGAATGATTAATTAATGGCAGGGGTAAAATGACTGTGGCCAAAGAGTTGTGTGAGGGCAGCAGGCTGCCCAGTGGTGCTCATCACTTACTGTCCAGGCAGACCAGCACGGTGTCTCTTTCCAGCTGTGTCACATGAATGGCATCCAGCTGCTGATTGCCTTGTGGAAAAGGGAAGAGATGATTTTATATCACATCGAAAAACTGAGCTCAGAAACCCC